TTTTATCTTTAGTTCTTATTAAAATATGCAAGTTTCTGAAAAGATGACAAAATACAGCTGGATCCTTTAAGTCAGTGGGTTATTAAAGTCAGTGGGAGCACACTGCTGAAATGTGGAAAGGATGGAACTCTGAATGCTTTTAATTCTGCCACGTGAGCCACAAAGCACCGAGTCTGATTGCGCAGTAACTGCCCCCTTGGGAGCTCTGAATACTGTTACTCCTGAATTCTGAAGTGACACTGACAAAATACGGTGTGCTTAAAGAACGGTCGGTAAGATGCGCGCCGGCTCTGGTTGCTCACGCGTTTTCTGACTATGGTGCCAAATCAGGTGACAATTTGCGTTTACATTTAACTTGTCCACAAGTAACTTCACTTAACAGGGATTAGTCCTGCTTAAAGTACATTCACAAATACCTGAAGGTCGGCTACTGCATTGGGGTAGGAATCGGATACGGCATGTGTGTCTGTTTCCAGGCATACTTGCCTAGAAACGTTTCTCTACGATAACTTGCTTTCCAGCAGAAAAAGCAATGATGAAGGTGGGCATCTCTCTTTGAGAGAAAGTGCCCTGCTCACTTTCAGAAGAAGTGGCCAAGAGCAGCGGTGTGGTCCCAATGAAAATGCTCTTACGGGGCTGGGAAACGTGGTATGAGCGTGATTGATAACTGCTTTTCTTATTGCTGTTCTTTTCAGTGAAGGAGGGAATTTCAAGAAATTGACTTCACTTCAGAGTCATTTTACACAGCAGAAGAAAATGTGTTGCTGTTCATGTTGCCTTTTAAATCATCAGGAAAAGAGATGCTTGATCTTCAGACAGAATAAGAGCCATTTACAATTGTCTCCGGTTTTTAAAATACTGAAAATCCCTATTTTCAGCTAGAGAATTGTGCTTGCAAATGCTATATTGGCACTAATTGTTCAAGACTGAGACGTGAAAACAGCTCCTGTACTTTGTTAGGGCAAATGGGGGCCTGTGTCACTTGCGACACTGTAAAGTCAGGCTCGCCTGTGCAGGGGCTTGGCTGTGCGCATGGGAAAGCAGCCCAGAAGGCGGGCAGCTGAAATGAGCCATCAGCCCAGCCAACACCTTTTCATGTTACTCAACATCATACCAGGGGGCTTGCACTGCTGCCCCCACCGCCGTTTCAGTGGGAGTTTAAACTTCATGACAGGTCCTGTAGATTAAGTAAATTTCATTTCATAATCAGATTTAAAGGATTCACCTAACACAGTCTAGTCTTTTAATTTTTCTAATGAGTAATTGCAAGAACTTAAGAAAGAAAAGCAGCCGAACAGCTCTCGTGTACGCATTTCCTACGTCAGAGCTGGGTGCTTGAGATGAAGTTTAATTTCCTGAACTATACCGGGCATGAGAGAAAAAAGGAAAATATTTTGCATATGTAAAATGATAAATATGTAAGTGAATAAAGCAGCGTAAGGAGGACTTCACTGTGCCCTCTTCTCAAATGCAGATTGGCTGCATAACCACTCACACTCCCAAACCCCTGGAGAGGGGGTAGTGGCCAAAGGCTGACACCGCGTGAATTCTCCAAACGAAAGATGCCAAGGCGACAGCCACAGCATGCCTCGCTCGCAGCGTTCCAGGCAGGATTTCGGGATCATTTTCAAGAGCACTTTTCTGTGATTGTGACTTCAGTAATGTGGCCTTTTGATTTCAAACACCTCCAATTATGTTTATACTGGTGTTGCTATTGGGATCGACTTTACATAATTTGAATAACTAAAGCTGTCTTTGAAGTTCTCTTTTTTTATAACTGTTCCCAGTGATTCCTTTCTAATTCATGCTGGTTTTCAGATAGCACTGGATGGGAAATGATACCCAATCCTTGAACGTTTTGAAATTAAAATCTATTTCAAGAGAAACTAAAAGCCATGCCAAACATTTTCACAAACAAAAGCTGAAGAACACGAAGATGCACTGTTTCAGTTCAGAATTTCTTTAAACTTAACGTCAAACTCCAGAAAGTATTTACTTTAGACTGGGAACTGGGCAGTGGCCAAACTTTAGCTTTAAAACTTTTCAGAACAGGAGATGTGTTGGTTTAGTCTCCTCTGCCCCCTGAATTTTTTTTTTTTTTTTTTTTTTTTTTTGACAATTCATCATTTTCAAAGAAAAAGCTTTCTCAGAAGTACCTGGGCACATTCCCTTTTACCTGCTTTCATTCAACTGAACTTACACAGCCTTTCAGTGATACCAATGTTATATTTTTCTAAGATCTTGATTATATTTCTTAAAACATGAACGAAGAGAAGAAAACGTGTACTTTCGGTAGGATTAGTTGGCCAGTTCTGTCCGGAGACCGCAGTTACATTCTGCGGATCGGGACACGACACGAGGGTGGTTTTCGGCCTCCTGGCAACGCGTGTGACTTCTGGTACGTTGAGTGGCAACGTCGGAGGCGAGTACGGCAGCGATGGCTTAAAAGCCGCCAGCTGCCCGCAGCGGCGGTTCGCGTGTTGGCGCTCGGGCCCCCCGGCAGCGCCCCA